CTTAAATTATTTCAAAAGATCAGTCATAACCACAACGTTAGCTGTGTTCAAAATCATTTCCTGTCGTTCTTTTCATTTTAAAAGGATGGTACCACCCCATTGCATTTAGCTGCGCGATATGGGTATAAGAAGTCTTGTCGGATCCTTGTGTGTTGTGGAAGCGATATCAATGTTCAGGATCGAGTAAGTTGAAGCCAAGCAATTAAATGATTTTTAAAATATATTTGAATACTCAGGTAAACATTAAATGATGATAACCCACTGTCCAAAGTCAAATGGGTTAATGACTTTTCAAGTTGCACAGTAATTTATATTTGTTAGTTGTTTATTTTGCGTAGTAGTTGTGGTGATGGTGGTGGTGGGGGGAAGGCGAGTGGTTGTATGGTGTAACTACTTTGAAGGCAGTTCATACAAACTGACAACACCTGTAGATGCAATAAGAAACAACAAGCACTTATAGGCTATCTCAGTTGATGCACTAGATTTTAAACAATAGGAATTCTGAATTCTCTGCCCGAAATGCGAGCAGTTGAGTGTGTGAGTGATTGGGTAAGCGAGTAGTAAGTTCTCACTGCGTTCGACCACCGGTGGGTGCTGAAGAGTCCCAAGCCGGGACGAAACAGATGTCTAGTACTCTCAGTTGGTCTTCCAATAGTTCTCTAATCGATGTCAGCTCATGATGAAATCATGAAACCAATCAAATCCCCACAATCCAACACTTGAATGGAAATCATATTTGTAGGACAAACTAAGTCGATAGCGAAACAGAAAAGAGGGTCTGAGCCAAGCTTTCCAAAAGTGAAATAATATTGTTGGAACCAAGTTATTACTGGATATAAGTTGTGTGGTAGTCACTGAATACATATCATATCATCATAACATGTTACTGAACGACTTTTTGAAATTCTACTACACCACTTCCTTCTGGGGTCCGTGCTAAAAATATTGGCTAGAGTAGCAGCGAAAGCATCATGATTATACTATTCTGTTCAGGTAACACATCACCACTGAAGTGAGTTGAACCTTGTTGCCACGATCCCGGAGGGGATTTGTTCGCACTGAATGAGAACTGTTGATATTGCCACTAACGCAATGATAGCCATCTCCTCAGTGAGCCTGTGTTTGTCATCTGGGTGAGCGGAGGAGAATATTGACCTTCCAGTCAACAATTTTTAGAGTCTACTTCCAGTCTACCTGGCCTTACACTAACACTCACACACCATGTCTTATGATTTCCACATGCGACCTCAGCATTATTGCCACTAGCCTGAAGCATGGTGAGGACATGCTAACTTTCGCTTTCATCGAAAGAAGACTTACCGGCGGACTGACTTCCCGAAGGCTTCCGCAAACTTGCGTCATCCGTCGACGAATTGAGGAGTGGTTTCGATTCCAGTGGGGAATAAGTCTACATTTCGTGTGCTTTACAGGTTCAGTGGTGATGAGGGTGTATTATTATGCGGTGAGGTTGCTAGCCCCATACTCAGCCTACCTCTTTTCTGGACCTAGGACCGACTAGTAAACAAGGTGAAATTATGAAACAGCAGTCCAATCAGATTTTCTCATTTATGAATATAAAAAATATTTTAATTTTGTATAAACTCAACTCTGTCGTGAGAATTCCATCTGTTCTTCCTATCATCGTGAAGAATGCCTAATCAATCAGTCCTGTTGTCATTAATTTGTTTTTGTGATTTTCCCAAATGGTCATAGACGAGTATCGACATTAGAGAATTATATTGCACCAAGTTTTGAGTCGCTTTGTAGACTTTATCGATTGACTTCAGTCGACACGAGGAGTCTGTGTTCTGAGACACTCATCAAGTGATAGTGAATTTCCCTATGGTCTCGCTCGATATCATGAATTTATGTTTACTTTACTCTACTAATTACAGATTTAGTCCTCAATAGCTGTTTTAAGTTCACTATGGGTTTAATTGAAAGATATTATACTAGTATATTTTGCATTTGATCATCCTCTTTTTCGACGATTCGATCTACACTCTAGCATGGTGTGGAGTGATAAAACTCTTGACTATTATTTTTGTGCTACAATTATTGTAAGGTGACATACTTCACTCAACAACTGAAATAGAAAATGGATAATTCATATGCATATGCATATATATGTGAAAAAGCTGTAATACACCTTGTAGCCTAACCTGATGAATTCATTGGAAGATTTTATATTCTGTTTACTAAGCAAATGGGTAAGCCCTTGTATCGATTATAATCCTACGTGTTTACATCGCACATGCGTTTGAATGTGCTAGAGTATGCAATTAAAAATTATTCACTGTGTCCCGAGACTTACGAAATCGTTTATTAATAACTCTGCTAATCTCTCTTAGTCTAAGTGTGTATTCCGACTGACTAATGAAGTGTCAGGATTTAGACAATACCTTAATTACAAAAAACTGACCGAAAGCTTCGTAATTGTCTGTAGGTTGTCAGTTTGTGTAGATTGAGGTGTACACAGCATTGGATTTGTAAGTCCATTATTTCTTGTACCTGTCCAGTAAGTAAGATGAACGGTGTGAATTAGTTAAAAGAGAATAGTTCTAGAATGAAATGGTCTTTAATACTTTTCGTTCATTCTACCTTTGAAAGCACAGCAAGAAAATAAACTTCTCGCCAAATGAATGAATATGCACAATCAGCAATACATCAGATTTTAGATTTGCGCGTTGGTTTCTTCACAAATTGGTATCAGCTGAAAGAACTGTCGAAAATCAAGAAGTACTGTAAATTTGATTTTAGAAGTGGCTAGGGTGCGTCTTCAGCATGTCAGTTTACCGACATCTCTGGTCAACAGTGTTTACTTTAGTAGAATTAGTTTGGAAAATAAGTAGGGTTTTTTAAGTCAAAATATAGTGAGAATTCATTAGGTCTATGATTGTTGAGTTGAGCCACACAGATTGTGTGACTGAGGTCCTCAGGGAACTTAGAGACTGGAATCCTTTCACGATTGTGCAGATGTATTCACTCTTTGTCATTTTCATCAAAGATTTTTGTATTTCCCAAAGAATGGAAAAAACGCTACTTAATGCTAATAGCTTTATCAAAGTATTTATCAAACCAGAATTTACAAAACCTCAGCGTATATATAACAACTAAGTCATCGTCCATCAGCATGGGGTCATTTTTGCGTTGTCAAGTTGGCCAATTGGTAAAGATAACAAAACCAGGTGTACATTGTTGGATTTGATAAGTGTATGAAATTATAAAAGCAGCGTGTGTTCACATAATGAAATTTCTTATCACATTCGTGTTGACTTTGTTACTTCATGTGGGAGGAAGGTGTTGTAACTAGGTCGAATTCTGTTTCATTTCATCATTCCTATTCAGACAATTTGGATTCCACTCGATATGAAGTGCTTCTGATATTAGACGTTCTTTATGACTTTTGAAATTTTTCCGGATGATGATTTCAATATTGTCAAAATCAATTTTGTGACCTGATTCTATGACGTATAGACCACCTATGGCTGATGATTTTTCAGGCTTTTCTAGTTCAACTGGATTTCTCAGTGGTTGATTAGATGCTCCACGGTGTTCATTTCTTCTGATTTTGATTTCCCTCTGGCGATTTTTGTCCGACGTATATTGCATCACATTCCAAGCATATTATTTCGTAGACACAATTAGATAGAGAATCCTTGAGGATTTGGTCTTTTATAAGGACAAGGTTGCTTTGTAGTGTGTGAGTCTGATGCTTTGAAGAAAACTCTGACGTCGTGCTTATTGATTACTCCTCTGATATCGTCTGACGTCTCTGATCTATATGAAATGACGACTGTTGAGGCCCATGTCTTCGGAACACGTCTTCGACCATACTTAGTGTCAGTGTTGATGAAGGTCTTTGAGTAGTTATTTTGCTTGAGAGTCTCAGTAATGTTTGATATTTCTTTTCCCTTTCCTTCCCATCCGTTATTGAAGGCTGCGCTCGTCTAAGAAGACTTGAAGCGACTGATGACTTTGCGCTGATGGGGTGTGATGATCCGAAGTCTAAATATTCGTTGGGGTGGGTTTTCTGCCTGGATATAGATATATTAAAATACCCGTTTTCCCTCCTCTTAACTAGGCAGTCTAGAAATGGCAGTTCACCGACGTCTGATTCTGCTTCCGAAGTAGACTGAATTCTGGGAGATGGATTGTCCAGTTTCTCCAAGAATAAAATGTGCAGATCTCGTTTCAGCACTAGGAAAGTATCATCAACGTATCTTAACTACATGTTAGGCTTGCGTATGCTTGAAAAGATGTTATTTTCGAATCGATTCATAAAGAGATCAGCGACTATTACCATCTTTGTTTATCATCTTTAAAATTGTGAGCACTTTCTTTTCCTTCTGTCCCGATTGATTAACAGGGAGGTACAGGGAGAACAGTGGTTCACCATGCTAATTAGGAGTAATGCACTTCGTAGACACTTAATTAAGTCTTCAAATTTTCGAAAGGTATGTTGAAACCCATTTTGAGTTAAGGAATGTCAAGGAAATGCAAGAGCGAATAAATTCAGTTTCAACTGCTGAGTTTATGAACTACTGAAAAGTCATGAATTAAAGCAGGACTACATGGCCATACACTGTTTAGTATTCAGTTGACGATCAACTACAGATTTCACTATATAAGCCTCAATGCATGTTGTTGACGCTGCTCACCGTATAGTGGAGGACTTGCGAGCAGGATCCAGTCCTATATAGCATGAGAATAACTGCAAACTGAGTAACTTGCTGATGAATGATGTCGATCAGAGTCCTTATGAAGGCACATGTTTCTTTACTGATACCTCTTGTGAATGGATATTAAAAGGGTACAATTTTTAAAAAACTTCTGCTAACAACTTTATATACCCAACTGTTGGCTAACTTCCAAGTTGTTTTTCTCTCTTTCACCACTCATGGTCCCTAAAATGTAACACTTTTCTCTGCTTAAATCCATAGTTAGGTCAAACACCACTGCACGTTGCAGCACTTCACAATCAGAGGCGTATTGTGACGATGCTGTTAAATTTCCACGCTAGGATTGATATAGTTGACACTGAATCAGATAATCCGATGCATATTGCAGTATCAATGGGACATGCTGACATCGTGAAGCAATTATTACGAGCGAACAAAGACAGATTGGAACTGGACTGTTTTTCTCGTGATACTAGTGGACCAAACGAGAATGTAGATATACGTCAGATGACTAATGCTCAAAATAAAAAACCAGTCGATATCGCCTTGCGCCAACGCTGCCCTGAAATCTTAAGGGTTATTGGGTCAGATTTCACGGAAAAGCATGAAGTATCACGATATTCATATCATCGTCTGCATCCTGCTCGATTGGTATTGGAAGATATTGAAAATCTTCGAGGAAATTCAATGAATGGAGCAAACAATGACATGATCACAAGCCTCTCAAGCTCTAACGGTAGCGATGATACAACTTCGTCTGAGGAGGACCTATCAGCAATGATATGCAATCAGAGATACTCAGATAGTAAGAATTTGGTGAGTCTTTCTTCCGCTTCAATTATACAACCGCTATTTTGATTCATTTCAATGTATTTCGTCTTTCTAACAGTGAACCTCAATATGTCAGTAGCATAGAAAAGTATGATGCATGAATTAGGCATACAAACTAAGACTTTCCGTCACCTGTTACACGCCTGCATGAGTTCAGTTACAGTGTCTTGATTAGTAAGTATAGTGTAAATTCTTGTCGCCCCTTTCACGACTAGACATTGGCACAATTCCCACAAAGTCAATGCAGTTAAATTCCCCCTTCACTTCAAGAAGTATTGTAGGTGTTGCACGCCTGTAAGTATTCCTATCTGTCGATACGTAATGATATGATAAATAGACACTCTTTCTTGACTTGGGTTTTGGCTTAATAGTTCTAAGGTCAATCGCTTCTGCCGTATGCAGTAGACGAACACAGAGTCTCCATAATGGATAAGATTTTATTTTGATAAATCACACAGAGCTTCGGATGGTTTTTGTCTGTCCTTTATTTTTTTATTTTTTTTCATTACAGCTTGATTCCACACTGCATTTTTTTTGTTAGAGGTATGGAATTTTCAGCATGTGATATCGGTAGCCCAAATTTTACAGGCCGACCATATCAGGTGTGCGTCGACAGGGAATCGAACCGCGGACCACATACATGATCGGCAAGAGTCTTCACCACTGTACCACCAACGCACCAAACCTAGCTCAGTGGTAACGTCACTGACTGCAGCACTGGGTGACGCGGGTTCGAACCTCAGAAGGGACATGAGTTCCTTCAAGGTTGCAGTTACGCCTTGCTGATGAGTGCCAATTAGCACGAAACCTAGGTCCAAGGCTTCCTGCCGATTGCCTCCAACCATCTAATACCAACAATTCACGGTACACCGTAATGGTGAGCCACCTAGCAAGGTGACCACATTGCAAACATGACTGATAGAATTCAGTCTGCACCGAAGATACGACTAGACACATTACACTAGTTACTGACTAGTGTGCAATCAAAAAAGATATTCTCCTTTGTTTGTTACAAGATAACATCATTTCTAGGCGAATATTACCCATCCTTCCCTGTAGTCGTTTCAACCTGGTTTTATAATACACATTAATATATGTGCTCTGATGGTAGACATTCAATTTGTGTTTCTCTATTGACTGGAGCTTTTTGTGCTGTATCGACACCATGCACTAATTACTGATGGATAATCTCAGACTTTAATTGAGGAAAGCTGATTCCAGTATTACTACTACTGCTTCTACCACTACTATTAATAATCATAATTATATTATTGCTGTTACTGATACTTCAAATATGGAAAAGTATTTCGTCTAACACAAGTCAGCCGGCGGTCAACTATACGGCTTACTTGTGCTCTTAATTACCATTGATATTATTACTATTATTATTATTATTAACTCCTTACGTTCCTAGTGAATCATAAGGAGTCAGTAACACATCTCCATTCTATTGATAGTATTTCATGACTATAAATTACCCAGAGTTGAAGAACAAAGAAGACTGAGATATTTCGGCCATCGTTTACCTTGGAAGTCTTGGTCGTAAACGAAGGAAAGTGACTGAGAAATGGTGCATTTGGAAGTGCACAGCACTGACCAATATATACACGTTATGAAATGAGGTGGTCAACATTAAATGTTGAAGATGCACATGAATTAATCCCCGGTTGATAAGCAATCCGCTTTTCTATTGTGTCCACTCAAATTTATCGATCAAAAATGCAATGTGGTCACTAAGTAATGTGGCATAACACTAATGTACATTGAAGTATCTTGGCATTAGTCCTTAGGAGTTGATGCGTGAGAAGTCCAACACATAGATCTTGTTTTTATTGGTACTCTTCAGGAAGACGTGCCAAGGGATCTTGTGGCGTATGAGATTCGAGAAAGTGTAAGTCAGTGCCGAAAATGATTCGTTCGTCTTGTTTAGACCGCCAAACAGGTCGGACAACTGAAATACAGACTAAGAAATCATACATGTATGCAGAGTGATCAACAAAAGTAGAGAGGGAAGTGAGAAGTGTTTACCCATTTCACCAATGTATTCTCTATAATATTCTATTAAATAGCGAGCAGCCTCACTGTATTGTTTTCTCTTGTGACTACCTGGAAAGCTCTTCCGTTCTATATGCACCTCAGAATTGGGCAGATATCCGACACAAGTGTTCTAGCTTTTCGCTAGAAATGCAGCAGGTATCTTTTCTGCTTATATTTGTGCGACTAATTTCACCCGTACACCAATGTTTCTGCAGATTTGCCGGTATAAGATAGTCAAATATCTCTTATTTCCTGTCTATCTATCAGTGCCACATCACATATGTAGAAAAGAAAATTTCATTCTGTTCTGCACTATAAAGACTGGTACATCGTAAGCACCTCATTTATTCTCTAGTCTCATTCAAATTTCCACCTAACTGCATGACCTTATATACAGTCTACATATAGCATGTAAATATTGCACTGTCAGTCTATGCATGGTAGAAGTTTATTAACTGTTTAATCGGGCAGTGGAAATTTAGAGAAATCATTGTGTTAAGTGAGTAGGTTTGCTAGTATTTGATTGGTTTCATGCTAAATTTAGTTGTGAACCGATATCATCTAGAGAGATCATTAAAATGGATAGTTGTACAGTGTTTAGGAGGGTCTATTTATCTGTGGTGCAGAGGCGAAACCTTGCTACTGACCGAGCACAGGACCTCCAGGTCGAGAGGTGAGTATATTGCTATTCAGCTATCAGGCTTAAATTGATTGGATAATGATTTTCAACCTTTTCGCGATGCATAATCTACTTTCGTTTCCGACAAACGCCTTTTGAACCTAGACAATCTTAAACATTTTGTTCAAACAGTTTCTCAGTAGATTTACTCTGAAGTCGTGCTGATACTCACTGCTCATACTTCTTATTCCGCTTTCCTTACAGAAATACAAATATATTCATAATAACTTAAACGAGACAGCACCTCCCTCAAACACTGCCGATTCAGCACCGGATGAAGATTTCGAAAAGGATAAGGTATTGTTTAATTTATAAAGATGAATAGGCGTGAATTACATGCTTTGTTACAATTATCACAATAATAATAAATAAATAAATTAATTAAAATGACACGTCACACGGGTTTAGCTGATGTTTTCCTGAACAATAATTTCATATCCATTGTATTTAGACATTGACACACTTGAATTTACCTAAATGAAGTGTTTGGTGTTGTTTCGTCGGATTGAAATGTTTGTATTTTTGTGGAAGTGGATAAACAGGGGAACAGAGGATACTTGTTCAATCTATAGATTTGCCAGTTACTACTAGTCAAAGTAAGTAATAATAATAAACTGACTGAAATGTAGTGAAGTGATAAAATATTCCCAAATCTCCTGTTGTCAGTATATGTAATTGCATTGGAATTGATGAGTTCATATCAGCATACCGGCTTTGTTTACACAAGTCGCATTCTGGTTAATGGTTATCAGGAAAACCTTACAAAGTGAATTGACAACCCGGTGTATGCAATGCACGAAACTCGTTGTGTGACAGATTGTGAATCCAACCAATTATTTGGGGAAAATAGATAAGATGGAATTTAAATCCCGAACCAATTTGTTGACAGTCAAACCAATCAGCTACCCTGAGACTGAAATCTGTGATACAGATTTTATGGTGTAACTTAATCGGATGTACTGAGACATTCATGTGTATATTAGTGTTTCCACAGCAAATCTGTTGACACGAAATGCATATTTTCCGGGTTTTCTTTTAAAAAGCTACGTTAGGGAACTTTTACATTTAAAAGTCTGGCGATATGTTAAGCTTAAAGTTACATGAAACACTTCATTGGAGAACCATTGAAGAACCAATTGTCGCAAAGTGGTCAACAATACTATTCTACCTATCTAGTTAGTGTGCACTCGGTTTTCTTTCTATGTTTAATTTTAACACTTTCTCCAGTTAAACGAATCACCTAGGGAGAGTATCCATGACGAAGCAATAATATCAACTGGGGCACATTTCAAGCCGTCTTGCAATGTGAGCTCGCGCGATTTGGATAACGAATGTAATTCTTTAACTCCAAATGAATCATCTACATCGAGTCCTCCACCGAAAGGAAATACTAAATCGAACTTCTTCAGTCGACTCCTTTCAAAAATATTCAAACGTAAAAAGGTGAGTCAGTGAAACAATAGTATTTCTCTGTGTTCTCCCCCTTCTCATTCTTTTGGAAGCAATCTGTCTTCCTGCATGTTCGTCAAACATTTCTACACACAAAGATTTGAAGCCAATTTAAGAAAAAGGCTACGGTCTGCTTAAATCCAAGTCTATCCTAAGGTTACCAATAAGGCAAACAGAGTGTAACCTTTCATACCACATAGCTTGAAGGAGACTTCTAGCAACTATTCTTTTTGTATTTCCTGCCGAAATAAATAAGTGATTACAACAAAATTATTTGTAGACAGGTATTTCGACGGAAAGTGGTTCACAGAAATTCACCAGTTCATTTCGCGAAACTACATAACAGCACACCACCACATATATAAAAATGGAACTTCCTACTTCATAGGAAGTCCTTCTGTCCATTTCTCAGCCTTTCCCTCGTATCTTTGTTCTGTACCCATTAAACGACAACAGAATACCTGGTTGTTCAAATCCCGGCTGCAAAATCCACATTGGAGCTCCATTGGGTGAAGCATTAGGTACTTTTATTCTGCGCCTTAAATGCATTTGAATCTTTACGAAATGCATACAAGACTCAAGCGGGATTTTTGATTCCACGTGAACTGTACAACAGTCCCGGTCTACAAAATTCATGCAGCAGCTATCGATAATTTCTTTTTGTAGTCTTCTAGAAGTTGTCGGCGAAAAGTCTTGAGATCTATTTGTATTCCCACAGATAATCATCAGCAGCTAAGCGGTTTCGAGAAAATAGGCGAAGGCTGTGATGATCTTTGATGCCCTTTTGTAATCCTCGCTCACGAAACGAGGAGTCTGAGTGTTTCTATCCCGAACTACAAAAAGTGAGACGCTCACAAGTAATCTTCGCAAGTGGCTTTTGTGTTCAGTAAGGAGACTGAGCTTGTCGGAGGAACATATTGAAGTTATCCACGGTCTCAAGTGTCAATGAAATAACCCTAACCACGGTTATTATGTCTAAGAATTTAGTCTAGATAATTACTAATTTCCGACCAGCACTAACCTCAAGCAAAATGGAAGATATTGTTTCACATGATAACTACTTATATGAAGCTGACATTGAACTGAAACAGACCGCTAGGCTACAAGATTTGGGTGCAGACAACCGGTTAAAGACCTCTGATCCTTTCGTAACATCCATGTGTTATTTTATGCACATCTGTGCGTGCATCTGAATGAAGGTGAAACCGAATTAACACACCAAAGGCGCAACATTTTCAAATATCTCATGAAATTATCATGTTTGTGTTTTGGAACCAGGGGACCTAACGTTGCAGAAATAGTGGTGAAGACAGTTAATGATAAGCAGAATCCAAGGGTTCCCCGAGCCCAGTAGAGGTGTGCAGTGTCATCTAGACTGATGTATACAGGCAGAAAACTTTCGGTGGGCCCTAAAAATGTTGAGAAGTGGAAAATGACTGAATGAAATTACTGAGAACGATGTCGTGTGACTAGACGAGATATATAAGACTTATAAGAGACATATAAGGCTTAATAACAGAGACTTCTAATGAGAACAAAACTATATTAATTTTTCTGAAGACAGTGCTGAAGCATTTCGGAGTGCATTACGAGAAGTAGCTACAGTGGTCTACAGCTGCTGATCAGCAGTCAAGATCGTGAGGCTGTTTCAAACGACAAATGAAGCAACGATGATAGACCTGAGAATTGCATGCATGTTTCGAAACTGTAGTGACGAAATACAGGCGAGATTAAATAAGACAATGTTTAATGCATTAAAATGCAGCATAATTCCCTCGGACTGTTGTAGATGGTGGAACATTTGGGTTCATAAGAAAAAGAACAAACCACCCACCCACCAAGCATAAGTCTGAGTGTCTGCATTAAATTTTATATCCCAGCAAATTGCACTTTTCTGCACTTCTTTGGCTTCTTGTAACCCATGATTTGGTCTAATGTTCTCAGCTTTCTCATAAGTCCACCTTACTTTAAAATCACTCGCTCAGGTATACTGTATCAGAATATGTAACAAATAATCCAATGATCAGTCAGTCCAGGTCCTCAAACTCACCGACTAACCTACCCTTCTCACCACCTAGTTTTCAGTTTAGTCTCAGTATTGTCCCTACTGTGAATCTGTCCAGCTGTGTAAATGCTTTCCAAGCAATGATCAACCTCCTGTCATATTGCTAGATGCAAACTTATAAATTATTACCATACGGGATGGAGCATTAAGCTATTCGTATTCGTTATCTACGATCATTCGTTTTTCATCACATTGATTTCTAATATTCTAATCTCTGACAAAGTGATATTAATTGTGTTTGATGCTGAACGTTAATGAAATCGATTCTTGCTATCTCTGTTTTAGAAATCGTCAGCCAAATGAAGATGGTTTACTCTCACAATGGCATGGCTGCGATCGACTTCAAGCAACAGATTAGGCTGCGATTGATAGATCCTGCTCTTTATATCGTGTCTGACAGTTCTTATTTTTTATGCTTTGTTAATTAGACTCACGTTTTTTTCATAAATAAACTCTTCAACACACTAGTCTAGGCTTTTCACACTTTTTAGATCGGTTGATAAACTCATAATATACAGGGAGGTGAACTTTCTGGAAAATACAGTTGTCAGACATAAAACGAAAATTACAAATCAGTGTCAAAAAGAAGTTCACAGAGCCAGGAAGCGAGAAAATGTACGCATTACTGGAATTTATAGACGTCAAACTGAGAATCGAAGTATAAAACTTGAGCACTGTGGTAGAGTGTAACTCCATTATGGATAAGAGTTGTGTGAGTAACTTGATATGATTATGAGCAATAATTTGTGCTGGAAACGTCATCAGTTAATATTGTTGTGTAACAATGTGTGATTTATCAAAATAAAATCTTATCCATAATGGAGCCAAACTGAAAAATCGAAAACACGATATCGATTGACACCTAACAGCTTATCCAAATCATCCCTCACATCACGAAAATGGAAGTCAAAGCTGTACACACGTGCTCTAACCTATTTCCCACGACTTGAAAAGTATACGATAATTTTTCAATATTAGAAATGTGCAATGCCGCTAGACACATACATGTCTCGTTCACCAACAGAATAACATACATATCCATGCTACTGACACTTCCCGACATTAAAGTGCTGGTCAGGCTTGCATGTTACAGTGAACCAACGACTTGATATGCCGGGAACTAATGCTTCTACTGAATTATTATGCTAGCGAATTTCAACAACCATGTAGAGACGTTTAGAGGAAAATGTGAGACCATTTCTGAGAAAAATGGCTCCTTTATTAGCTCTCAGGATAGACGCTTTGAACGCTGGAAAGAACACTTTGAGGAACAATTTAACTTGCCTGCAGCCACACTGAGCCTCCCCACCATCCAGCACACACCCGAATGGGATATAGACACTGGCCCGCCGTCTGTAAGTGAGGTCACAAAAGCTATCTGTAATCTGAAACGAGGCAAAGCGGCAGGACCCGACGGAATTATTCCGGAGATGTATAAATATGGGGGTGACACACTAGTATATAGTTTAACTAAGATACTAGGTAACGTCTGGGAATCAGAGACGGTTCCATCAGACTGGGGTAAGTCACTTATTATACCAATATTCAAGAAGGGAGACAAGTCCTCATACGATAATCTTAGAGGAATCAGCCTGACGAACATAGTCTCTAAAATCCTAGGCTCAGTAATCATGCACAGGCTAAGTCGAACTCGGGAGGAACAAACGAGGGAAAATCAAGCAGGCTTTAGGCCAGGTAGAGGGTGCATAGATCATATCTTCACTCTCCGACAGATCCCAGAACATAGACACACTTTTAGGCAGCCAACAATTGCCATATTTCTTGACTTGAAGGCGGCCTT